CGAAGCTAGTCCAGAGCGTCGTCGACCCTATTCATGGACCTCTTATTCCGTTAGGTTTGTCGACCATGCAATTAGCATACTTTTTTGGTTGTTGTACCTATCTAAGCTTGCTCCTGAACTCAGTTTGCCCTTCCAAGTGATTCGCCTACGCCAAAATTACTGCGCTTCTCCCCGAGCGACTGGATTCCCAATCCACTTGCGTGGGTGCTCCAGGCGCTTTTCCGGCTGAGTCAAGTGTTGGTGTGCAAAATCTCTCCACTTCTCAATGGAATTCGGTCTCCACCATCGCTATCTTGATACCTGTTTTGGATTCATGCCCACGTCCCTCCAGTTCGACCATGACCGATGTTGGCGAATCAGACTCTTGCTACTTCCAAGTCACTACTTATTTTCATATCATTCATCATTTCATCTCATTTGTTATTGATAATTGCTCGCCTTGTGATATTCAAAAGGAAGATTATTCGTCAGTGCCGTCGTTTTCTCACGTTCGTCTCTTCTTGGGTCACAGGATGCACGCCTGAGCGAGAAATCGGTTTTCCACAATTTTCCATCTGACCTTGAATAAACCGCCAGTACTGTATACTACGCTACTGACACATCAAATACTCAGTTTGCGCCTCATTGTACAAACACGCAGGTCACACTGTTCTGCGTTGGGACATGCAACGCACGCGTGTTTTGCTCGACAAGTGTTTTTCCGAGGAGGTACCATATCTCACGTGTTAACTCAACGGCAGATGCTGACTTGAGTGACATTGAGTGTCCTGTGGAATACCACGATGCAGGCGTTGAGGTGCTGCATGGTGGGAAATTAGTTGATCTTGATTATGCAGACGAAACTGTTCTGCTGTTTGACGATACCGCAGTGGCCCAGTTAACTCTGAATAATTCCTCCATAGTGGTCGCATCATCTGGCAATCGGTTTGCACCTTCAAATTGCGGTGTTTTTGTAGGACTAGCAGCCAAATAGTAACCGCTTGACCCTTGGTAGCGATGAATCCGAGGTACTTGATCAATTCACTTACCTTGAAAGAAGAATCAGCAGCAATGGGCGCGTGAACGCTAAGACTAGTTCGTGTACTGCGAAAGCGATAACTATGTTAAACCCGCGTTGTTTGATGTTTTACTTATTCTTAAAGACCGTGTGTACAGGGCCACAGTGAGGGCCGTAATGCTGTATAGAAGTGAGACTTAACCCCTCGGTTGTAAGATCCGAGGTGCCGCAAGTCCTCAATCATCGCACTATGCTGTGCGTAGGCGAGTACTAGGCAGTGATACTCTAATTCCTTGGATCAACTGATGATATTGTTTGCCGTATGCAGGGCAGCGCAACGCTCGAGATAGGCAAAAGTTGACTTGGTTGTGGGAAGTGAAATCACCGACGACTAAACTGGGAGCTGGTTTGTCTCGCTTCCCAGGATGGAGTCCACATGACCCTCCACGTGCTAGGTTCCAGACGTTGTAGAACATGGCTCATAGTAGGCACCAATGGCACGTTTAATCTCGTTTTTTAGTCACACTGCCTACTTAATATATGTTCAGTGCTTAGTTATCTGCGGGGTGATGGTTGATTATGACGCCGGGCAGTAAAAATCACAAGGAAGCTGTCTCGCCGCCTCATTCATACACGAGAGCCAACTGTTTGTATACTTGTTATTTGCAAAGCGCTGAATGTTTGTTTGGAGCACTTTCGATTTATGCTAGACCATTTTAAAAACATTATTAGTCTTCGTTGTATGGCAGCGAAGCATCAGTGGATCCTGAATGGAGAGAAGCGTAGCTAAATAACAAAAAAACAACCAAGTAGGCCATTGGTTGCCGTTTTAGTGCACTTATAAGAGACAAGTTTGAATGAGAGTACTGGACTCATCCCCTACTGAGATTGATCATATTCGGCAATTTTTGGATAACCTGCGCATTCGAGCCGCGACTTCTCAACACTTCAGCACAACCTGTTTATTACTCCCGGAACGCCTGTTCTTAACGTTGGTGGGAGTAAAGTTTCGCTATTTACTTCTTGGGTGCTGTCCAGATTCCCAGGTTGGCTCGTCATGATTCCTCTTCAGTACGCCGTCATGCAGTCATTTCAAGTACATTTTCCTAAATCGATGGCTTTGCATGTAGGGAAGCAAATTGCGGCATACCACTCGTCACTGTCATATGAGTCCGCTGTATTTCCACCCATTTACCGAGAAAATGTATGAGAAACAGTGATAGATTACAATGCCAGCAGACCCGAGACACCCGGTTTTACCAATGAGAAACGCCACCAGATATCTGCAACCCTCATCATTCAGTATCTCGACGCGAACAGGGAACCCATCGGGCTGCTTTCGCATGTAGTGAAGCTGCGCGCCCAAAGGTATAGAAGGAAGTTTGCCTGTCCTGTTGTGACCTACGATTGCTTAAATTAGCAACTTCGGCAAACAAAGTAAGGAAAGTGTCTAGTTACGCAGTTCGCAACGAGATATGACTCTGATTTACGGTGACGATTGGCACAGTTCTCCTGCATTGAGTTGCGCCTTTGGTCATCCTAATAACTATTTCTGCTGGGTTTAATAGTTCGGAACCAAACTTCCCCATCCTCTGGAGTGACATCCCACTTTTGTTAAATGACCCGTCTTGTGAGCAGTTGCCGTATTCTCGAATGATGGGATTTGTAGCCATGAGCTTTCAATGGGGGTCGCAATTATTCGCTTTCCAGATTTTGCGTGCCAAATCACGTGGTGTCTCATCTGCAGTACTTCGGAATACCTGCAACACGAATTGGCTGTTGATCCCTTGGGGCGTCAGCATTTTCGAAATGTTTTTTCGTTAGTATATATCCTCGCTGGACCCATCAATCGTTTGCCTTTTGATCGGAGCTACTTATCTAAAAATGGAGTGCGTCAAATACGGTCCATGTATCCTTTTCATTTAATCATAAATAAATAAATATTTTATTCTCGAATTCATCGAGGCGGTTAAACTGATTTGTTTGGAGATAACTGCACATCCACTGATCGAACGCACCGGGCTGTAGAAAATGTAGGGCCGTGTGTAGACAAAATTTGAAATCTGTCAACCTTGACCATTTGGCTATCCTCTGATATTCACGTTAATAGCAGCTTTTGTAATGATAATGGTTTGATCCTTCCTTCAAATGTGAGCACGCGTGTGCAGCCATACGACAAGGGAAGGTTTCCGCCGTTCAGATGAGAATTTCGACGCGACTCGGCAACTCCATTGCTGATGTATCGCTCACACTGTCTGCATGTATTGTGCAGATTTCTTAAGTTTAAACAGAATTATTTAATGGGGCTGATGGGCTTACCGCATATACCAGACGTATAGCGCTTCCCACTTCAACAGTGGTTTTGCAGTTTTTGTCGGGACATCAATGTTACTAGCAGCACGCGGCTTGATGGTAACAGCTAAGCCACAGTTCCATGATGTGAGTAGCACGGAATCATATTGATGGCTTCAAGAATGAAGTGGGTGATGTGACTCGTTGTTGGAGAGCAATGCTGCAGGTACAGAGAAAGCACGCACTGCTAACGATCGTTGGAAACAATTAACGGCCCTTCAGTGGCTATTTGTGTTACTGTGACGAATCCCCTCCGAAATTTTATTCCAAATCCCATCTTGAACACACTAAAATCCGCAATCGCCCAGTCTTCTTCTTCGCATGCTGGAAACGCACATGATAAAGGATGATGCATATACACGCTGTATCACAGCTAGTCATTGACTCATAGCTGCTACCGCTCAGTGATGTTAACCACGGACTCTTAAGTGTAAGGTAGCGCAGATTCTATCTTCACACTGCTGACGATTCCCATACAGCCTTTCAGTGCTTTCCTAAATGTTTGATAGCTGACTGAGCGCAGTTATGAGGAATCTACTTCCAATCAGGTAATTTTAATGCTTTTGGTTAATTGGACGTGTACAATAAGTAGTGGCGTTAACTGACGTATGAGGTATCATGTGGACGACTATCTGATTTGGAAGCTGGCTGTGCTGAATCTCAATTATCAATATCAAAATCCCCTACTCATGAGTACATCAAAATATCTCCGCCCTGACAGTTTCTAAATGCTGTGTCGTACATAGCTACTGTTAGTGGACGTCGTGTCTTTCGGGGCCAACCCTGCCCTCTGCAACGTTCGTAACTTGCATGGCAGTGGAGGATAGGACGCGCTATATCACAGTTAGCTTGTAAATCATGACGGTCCGAAGCTGTCCCCCGTGGCCCAGTGGCATAAGCTGCTGACTGGCGGTGCAAGCCGCTGGTGGTCATGGGTTCGAATCCTGACGGATCCGATGGATGCGCACTACTGACGATGCCCAACAGGCTGAAACTGCAGTCTAGTGCTTTTCCGGGCATGTGGACGACTATCTGATTTGGAAGCTGGCTGTGCTGAATCTCAATTATCAATATCAAAATCCCCTACTCATGAGTACATCAAAATATCTCCGCCCTGACAGTTTCTAAATGCTGTGTCGTACATAGCTACTGTTAGTGGACGTCGTGTCTTTCGGGGCCAACCCTGCCCTCTGCAACGTTCGTAACTTGCATGGCAGTGGAGGATAGGACGCGCTATATCACAGTTAGCTTGTAAATCATGACGGTCCGAAGCTGTCCCCCGTGGCCCAGTGGCATAAGCTGCTGACTGGCGGTGCAAGCCGCTGGTGGTCATGGGTTCGAATCCTGACGGATCCGATGGATGCGCACTACTGACGATGCCCAACAGGCTGAAACTGCAGTCTAGTGCTTTTCCGGGCATGTGGACGACTATCTGATTTGGAAGCTGGCTGTGCTGAATCTCAATTATCAATATCAAAGAACCATCAATCGAAAGGATAAGTGAACAAAGCGATATATCAATCAAAGAATGGAAGCGATAAAAATGAATTACACTGTTCAAATTACCGCTGAGGTTATCAAGACAGAGAGCAATAGGAGTATGAACGAAGGATTTGATCGATCCAGATTTCACGAAATTACTAAGGAAGCCTCAATCAGCTGCCACAAACCACACTTCGTTTCTTCGGTTGAACAGGTGGAATGGCGGGTTGTAACCAGCGAAATAATACGGATCTCTTTTGTATGACATATTCAAACCGTCTAATGTTCGACCGAGCTCCCTGGCTTCCGCATGCAGCTTCGTGTCGTTTGAAAATCCTGAGTATACTCTGGAAAGAATAATAAGGTGAGAAAATGCACCAGAACCACTCAGCCATAAAGTACCAAATATAACAATACTGTGATTTATTCTGCTCATACGGTGTCGCGAAGCCTAGTTCGGTGGGCCGATACTGACACCTAAAACGCGACAGCAGGACGAGAGCTATATTGCACTATCCAAACGCCCTAACAGCTTTTAGGTGCCACATCGGAATTCTTGTACTCTGCAACGTTCGTGACTTGAATGGCCGTGGGAGGTAAGGTAGAGCGCTTCAACCGGTTGTAGAAAGACAACATCCAAGTTATTTTCTATCTGATAAACGCTGAAAAAGTTCTACCACAACAACAATAGCTGTGTTCCTCGACTTCAAGAGTGCGTTCGATTCAGTCGATCGATCGATTCTGTTCGAAATACTTGCGCGGAAAGGTGTTCCCACGAAATATGTGAACATACTTCGTGCTCTATACTCGAACATTACAGGCCGCGTCAGGGTCTACGGTAGCCTATCTTACAAATGGCGTTCGTCAGGGTTGTCCGATTTCCCCATTTTTGTCCAATTTCGTCTTGGATTCTATCATGGAGTGTTCCCTTGCGGAATCTCACGATGTAGGCGTTGAAGTGCTGCCTGGTGAAATGTTAGCTGATCTAGATTATGCGGACGATATATTCTTGCTTTTCGACGATGTTGCGGCGGCACAATCAACCCTGAATAGCCTGTCCAGAGTGGTCCCATTATTTGGTATGCACTTCGCACCTTCAAAGTGTAAAGTGTTGCTGCAGGACCACCAGCCACTTTATGACTCCTTGACACTTGCTAACGAGGAACTCGAGGTGGTTGATCATTTCACTTATCTTGGCAGCTGCATCAGCAATGATGGGCGCATAGAAACTGACGTGAGCTCACGCATTGCAAAGGCCAGAGCTGCCTTCTTGAACCTGCGTCATCTTTGGCGACAGAAAGGAGTTTCCCTCCGTCTGGAAGGCCGTGTATACAAGGCCACAGTGAGGGCCGTTCTGCTCTATGGTAATGAGACTTGGCCCCTTCGGTCTGAAGATCTGAGGCGCCTTCAGATTTTTGATAATCGTTGCCTGCGAAGCATTGCTGGTGTCGGATGGCACCAACGTGTCCGCAACGATGATGTGCGTAGGCGAGTACTAGGTGGTGACAATCATGCTAGCTCCCCAGAACAACAGATAGCACTGAATAAGTTGCGTTGGCTCGGGCACGTGCTACGTATGCCTGGTCACCGCTTACCTAGGAGGGTCTTGTTGTCTGCCAGGTGTGGGGTGGCGCAAGGCTTGAGGTGGACAGAAGTTGACTTGGCAGCGGGAAATGAAGTCACTGACGACCAAACTGGGTGCCATTGGTCCGTCTCGCCTTCCGGGCTGGAATCCACGTGACTCACCTTGTGCTTGGCTCGAGACTTTACAGGACATGGCTCACAACCGACACCAGTGGCGCGTCTGCTGCCGTCTCCAAATTGGATTGCCTGTTTAAAGTGTGTTTGGTGCTGAGTTATTTGCGGGGTAATGACTGATTATGACGTGTGGCAGTGAAAACCGCAAGGAAGCTGTCTCGCCGATGTCGCCTCATCTCTGCACGATAGCCAGCTGTCTGTGACGGTATGTTGTTTACACAAGGTGTAGGCGCCTTGACCCTGGATGTTTGCTTAGGACATGAAGGTTTTCAGGTAAGTCCCCCTTCTCTCTTCTTATTCTTTATTTCATAGGTCTTCATGGTTGTATGACAGCGAAGCATCAGTTCAAATGTCTGATGTACTGCTGTTGATGATGATGATGATGACCACGACCAGCAGTACAAGCATTGTTTTCTTGTTGAATCGCACACCACCGATCCACTGCCAAGAAGCTGATAGAACCTATGCTTGAGAACTCTCCTACGGACAAAATTGAAGCTCGCACTCTCGATTCTTGGAACTAGCAACATCGGCGAGTTGAATCGTCGCTGATGACATTAAACCGCCAACCATGTGAAGGGAAACACGGTGTCAAAAGGCTGCCCATGTTATCCCACTCTGTAAGAATAACACGCGTCTGGGGCCTAGCACTTATCAGCTCGGAGAGAGCTGCAAGATCAACGCGCGAGCAGATTATGTCCTACCCCCTGTATTAACGGAAGTACGAAAACAACGATGCAAACTAATCCAGCTGGCAAACCAAGGCAACCCGATCGACCTGCATTTGACGTTCGTATGACTAGGAGAGAGTTTTTGATGTTTTTCCCACCTCTTCACAGTCGCCGTGCTACGTGCACACATCCACGGACACACGCTTACTCGATTGGATGCTCTCTCATCGTTTTAGTCTTATATGTACACACAGCAATACGGCTGGAATTTACCGTGGTGCGATGGTTTGCGTGCCTCAGCGATCCATTGGGCCATCCTGGTTGGTGCATTTCTGCATCTTCAGAGCCACTCATGCCGGATTGCTCAATGGTTAAAGGTCTGATAAAATCAGTATCCTGGCTCTCCGGGTGAGGGGTGGAGTGTGGGTTGCTCCTTATTCCTTAAAACGGGTCCCTAATAGTCCATTTCCAAACTCGCTGCCTTGCGATCAGGCTTTCGAACCAAAGGCTTTGGTTGAGAACCCTAATCGTTCTCCTATCTAGGCCTGGGTAAACCGACTATCTTGCCCACATAACACAGCACCATGACTTTCCCTTCAAACAATTTATTGATGCTCTAGCCGCAGCGGAGGAAAATCAGCGGTGTCATAGCAGCTGTATTGACCAGTGTATAGGGGTTTGGATGCTACTGCTCAAGCCTTCCCGTCTTCCTATCCTCTCACTTGCGCTTTTTTATCCTCATCGTCCCGGTTTAACTTCACTTTTATCCCCCGTTTTCGACCCTCCCCCACCATGCTTTGATAGGGTTTTATCTTCTAGTTTCAACTCACCTACTAACGCGGAGTGTCCCTCCTGCCTTATCGACAAGCCTATGTCTAACCAAGCGGTCAAGCCCAGTTTATTGGCTTCTATTTGGAGTCCCCCGATCCCCCTTAGATCGGCATGCCTCAACGTACGTACATTGTTACAGATCGGCCAACAGGCATCACTTGCCCGAGCATTAAAAACCCTCTCGGTCGATATCTGCTGCTTATTGGAAACCCGACAACAAGTCCCGAGCCCTGTTCTCACTCTCTGATCCCCTTCGGGTGACACTAGCAGTGCATTCTCATTGCGTCTATAGGAGACGATGCAGCTTCGAGTACCGGCCAAGCCAGCGTTGATCCGGACTCCCCGGGCTGAATATGCTCTGATTGATTGGATCCCAATCAGTAGCCGGATGTGTGCGGTCCGATTAGCTGACTCGTTCAAAGCTTCGAAGTCGCTGCCTGTCCCCACAAACTGTAGTGATGACTCGGTAAAAGTGGACTTCTATCACCAACTGAACGAACTCCCTCGTCACAGAAGAAGCACGGACAGTGTAGTGCTGGCTGGGAGTCTGAACGCCCAAGTTGGGAAATTGCCCACTTATGAGCTGTATCTGGGTGGCCAACATGGTGTAGGCTCCTGTAATGATAATGGTGAGCGGCTGCTACATTTGCGTGAAAAAGCCCGCTTATTTCTTGCGAGCCCTAAGTTCCGACACAGCACCTGCCGGATGGTGACATGGCGCCAACTAGCCTCGGATCAGCCCTGGATGCAAATCGATCATATCACGATCAGTTACCGCTGGAGAGGTTGCATCCAAAACCGTCGCTCCATTTGGAGCAAATGTGTGGACACTGAGCATGCACTTGTATGTGCTGATCTGCGGGTGTGTTTTGGCGGTCGGCCTCGACGACCCTGTGAACGCGTAGACACCAGACAACTGGCGAAGTCAGATGTTCTGAATGTGTATCGAAGTACGCTGGCGTTCAGGTTGAGCAAGCGCTCACTTAATAGGGTTGAAGGTCACCGGTCGCATGTTCAACAGATCTTATTAATGGCAGGCAAATCCTCATATAGTAAATCCACTAGACAACATAGACATTGGGTTTCTTCGCAGTCTCTGGAATTTATCCATACTCGCCGGCATATTCCGGCTGAAAACTAACACAACGGGTCTCGTGAAGACATGGCAAAACTCCGTGCTAGCCTGAAGAGAGACCACGATTCCTGATAGTCTCATCGTGCGTCCGAGATGGAAGTGACCGCTACCCTCGGAAGTTATTCCGTCTGATACGAGAAACGGGCAGCAGGAGACCTGATGTTTGTGAAAATATTTATGACGAAAGTGGGCAGTCTATTCACAAATTGTCCAAACGGTTGGAGCGTCGGGCTGAGCATTTTGATAAACAATTTGATCGGCCGGAATTGTTAGATTTCTCACCGGTCAGTGATCGTCCTTCTCTCTTGGCTATCCCTTAAGACCCGCCCTCTCGCTCAGAACTCCAACGTGAGATCGGACTGCTGAAGTTGAATAAAGCCGGGTGATCAGATGATTTTCATCAAGCACTCTTCAAATTCGAGGGCCCTGCCCTTGTTGATGATTTATGCGAATTACTAGTGAAACTGTGGTAGCAGGAAACTGTCGCTACCGGCTGGAGCCGCTCCGCTATTGTCTTGATCTTTAAAGGAGACTCGCGTTCGGAATGCGGCAACCATAGAACGATCAGTCCAATCCCCAACACCTTCAAATTACTTGCCTCTGTAATCCTTCAGATTGACTGGCGCTCGTGAAAGTCAGGGATTCGTCAGTTGTTGGAGCACCGTCATATATATTGGCGGCCCATCGTCGTCGTGTTCCTCAACATCAAAAATGTCTTCGATTCGGCTGATCGATGTGCGTTTGGGACTGTCCGCTAAAGAAAAGGTGTGCCCAAGAAATATGTAAATATTATGGGAGCGCTTTACGCGCGTAGCTCGAGCAGAGTGAGGGCTCACGGCAAGCTGACGCCGCCCTTCATCTCCAGCAGTGTAAGACAAGGAAGCCCGCTGTTGCCTTTCCTCTTCAATTTCGCGACTGACGAAGTCATGGAAATCGCGTTCACAGGACACGA